TAATAGGTTCCTTCACCCCTTTGCTTACTTGACTCTATCATTTGTGTAAAATCATATAAATTCATTACAATTCCCTTAAGTGTCTGACACTTAAGTAAGGGATTAATTTTTATGACTTTTTTTGATTTTTTTTACAAAAACTTAACTTTTAAGCAAAAGTGCAATTTGTTAAAAAAGCTATATAAATATTGTTAGTTAGTGTGAAATAAAATTATTAACAAATACTTATAGTTATTAATTTCTAAGTTTTTGTTAATAATTTTTTTAAATTTCGTCATAAAATAATTAAGTTAAAGAAAAATTTATGACTTTTTTGAAATTTTAAAGAAAGTTCAATTCACGTGAGTTGAAAAATTTAACTATTTGGAGAAGTAGTCGAAATTTTAATAAGTAGATATTGAAAAATCATAAATATTTTTATTCTAAATTTAAATTTCAACTCCTAGAATTCTACAACTTCTTGGTAAATAAAAATAAAACTTTTCCATTAATAAAAATCTCAACAAATCCTAAAATTTAAGCTCAAAACTTGAAAATATTAACAATTTTTTTTTAATAAAAATAAAATTAAACCATTAACTAAACAGATAATACATTAAAAATTTTATAATAAAATTCATTTAATCTCGCTTAATTATCAATTAAATTTAATTTACGAAGAAAAAAAAATAATTCAGACATGCAATCTACCATTTAATATAAATATACAAACAAATTTTAACAAAAACAAAACTGACGTCATAACTCTATACAAAATACCTCCCAAATCTAAAAAAAAGATCATTTCAAACAAAAGCCAAAAGAGGAAACAAATTGTACATATAACCGGATAAGAATAGAATTTCAAAACACAAGCCGTCAAGAATTCCAAAAAAATACGAATTTGGATGTTAACTACAAAAGAAGAATACGATCCATACTCGCTTAGAAATTGTTAGTTAATTTGCACATATTTGGTTTATATATATATTTTTTATTATTATTTTCAAACCAGTTTTAAGTTTAAAAGTGATTTGAATGCTAAATTATAATGGAGAGTTAAAAAAGGCCTCTTTTTGTAAACAAACAACAAAAACATAAAGTTAAATAAAAAAGTATTTTAACCGGCAAATATGACATCATTTCCGAAATGTAAATACAAATATACCACCACAATATGAATTACATATTTATAAACATAAACAAAGACTGTACAAGAAAAAGTTTTAACATTTTGTAAAATAAAACTTTTACGATTTAATTAGAAAAAAATCTCTAAAGAATATAGTTTTGAAACTTAAAATTTATCGTTCAAATCAAAGTACTTTCAACTCTAAAACTAAAGCTAAGTTCTTTTATCGGAAGCTTTTTATATGTTTGAGTCTGTTTTGGCAAAAGATTTGTATAACGATCGGTAAGGTCCATGATCCATTTCAGCTTCGATATAGGTGAATGATCATTTTTACAGTAACTGTCCCGATATCACTTTTAGAACTATAACAAGACTATCGGTTCTAAAACTTATTGAACGCCATATTATTCTCTAGGTAACAACTTTCAATTCTGATTGTTATAACACTAAATTAACTTTGTTCCGGAACAACCAGATTCACACTCGACCAAAAGATTTTCCCAAATAATTATCTGGTTATTCCGAAACAAAGTTAATTTGTTGTTATAAGAGGCAGAGTTGATCAGAGATACAAGCCGAGACGGCTCAAATCGGCGGTAATATTTTGCAAGCCGCGCCGCCGCCGACTTCTTTCGGCTCAAAAGCCAAGCCGGCTTAAACGTAGCCGCTGATAAAGATTGAAATCGCATATGTATTTCAGAAAATAATTTCACCAATTTGAACGGAGTTGCCACTATTTTAAATTCTTATGGCAAATTGAAAAGAGTTGCCACACAATATTGTTCTAATATTAAAATAGTGATAACTACTATAATAATGTCCATTTCTACTTATATAGAGACAGGTTTCTTTATAACAGACTATTATACAGAGATTTTTCAATATAATAAACGTTTATAAGATCAATTTCTGAAGAAAAAGTTAAATTGAGCCGACAATTTAGCCGCCGCCGATATTTTCTATAATAAGCCGCCGCCGCCGATCATTTTGCATCGGCTTGTATCTCTGGAGTTGATAAAACAATCGAAAGTTTTTCTCTAGAAAATCTCGGTTCAGAAACTAATTGACTTTTATCAGAGATTATTATCAGCTTTCATTATCTGTTAAGTAGTGTAATTTGATCTCGATCGTACCAACAACAATTTTAGACATTATCCATATAAAAATTTGTAACGAAATAAAGATTATTTCTTGGAGGTTAGAGTCATGAAGACAAGTAATATCATTTACATGATTAAATTCCCAGCTAGGTAGAGCTTTCCCGATTTAGTAACGAAAACTGAGATAAAATTGTAAAGATATATTTGATAAAAAGTTGGAGAAGTACATATAAACTCTTTAAAGGAATTTACAGATTAAACTTCCAAATCGAAAAAATTCTTCAAAAAAAACTTTGTGATATCTGAAACAAATATTGAATACAACAACAATTCCAAATATTCAAGTTCTCACAAGAAGGAAAAGTCTTTGAAATTCCTGAATTTTGAATTATCGCATTCGCAAACGATAAACGATTAGTTCGCTGTCAATTCAAGTCGTGAAATTAAACTTCCAATTCAAAGAATTTCTTCAAAAAAAAAACTTTGTGAGATCTAAAACAGATATTGAATACAACAACAACAACAATTTCAAATATTCAAGTTCTCACAAGAAAAAGAAATCTTTGGAGATCCTGAATTCTAAATTATCGCATACGCAAACGATTCAAACGCTGCCAATTCAAGTCGTGAAATAAAATTTAAAAGTAGTTGAGAGTTTTTGCTAATTTTTAGACTCTTGATTAGATTCGAAAAATTCAATGAAAATTATCTATTTGAGTTTTCTCTTAAAAAGAGAACTCATTATCTCATTCGTGAATGAACTTTCAGTAAAAACAAAATTTTAATAGTGAAATTAGAATAAAATAAAGTTTTCGCGAATTTTCATCACTTTTAAGATTGTTGATGAGATTGGTATTCAAATATTTGTGTTCCCACAAGAAAGAGAACTCGTTGAGAGTCATAGATCCAAATTATTACATTCCCAAACTGATTCATTTTCATAACGTAAAGAAATTAATGTTTATTGAAGAACAATTGTTCTTATCTAGATTAGATCGGAATAGGTTTGTACAGCAACAAATCAAACTAAATACTTACATACCCACAATAATGAGAACTTATTAAAGATTTTGGGTTCGAATTATCTCATTCGTGAGCGAATGAACTTTTATTTGGAAACCCAATTCCTATGTCAGAGGGAAGACTTATTAAGAATTCTTGGTTCAAAGTTAAATATTAATCAATAATAAATCAAATTTCATTACCATATCCGAAAGAAGTTGATGTGAGTTCGCAGGTACTCACCGTTTCTTCGTATATTCTGGGTCCTTATTAAAATCTAATGCGATGTAGGCATGTCTGTGCGTCTGTCTGTTGAAAACATATAGGGTCTGAACGGAAAAAGCTAAGGGTCTGAATGGAGTCCATCAGATGGAAATCGTTCCTATTTGTCTCTAGGTCCCTTTCAGAAAATAGCTTTAACATAAAATTATAACGATGGAATTTGACATAAACATACGTTTTATAAGAAACAAAATCTCTCTGCCAAGTCTCAGGAGGATTGGTCCATAATGAATCATTCGTCTATATGTATATTGAAATGCTCGCTTCATAAAATAGGCCAAGAAATTTTTAACCTAGAGAATATTTTTCTAAAGGATTGGACGTTTCAAATGTAATATTAAGATATCTCGTAGAAGTAAGAAGATATAAAAGAGTTAGTCTCTTTTTTTTTTTAAATTCGATAGATTGAGGACACCTATTTTTAACATCACAAATATGATCAAAATCTATTACGATTACGCTAAAATGCAAAGATTTAATGTTATAAAGTTTTAAAGGCCCGTTTCAAACTTAAGGTTAAGATATCTCGAAGAAGTAATGATATAAAAAGGAGAAAATTACAAAATGTTTAAAATATTCAAGGTGTTTTCGCGCTGTTATAACGTCAAAGTTTGGATTACGATATCTTATTTCGAAAGATAATATTAAAAGATGATAAAACGTTTTCAGTGTTGAATTTTCTTGGCGTAAAAACTTTTTCACCAACCATCTTTAAACAAATTTGTTGTGCTTTATTTAGGTACGCAAACATTTTTTAAAGTTTGAAGTAGGTAAGGAGTATTAGGGAACTGGTCAGGGTCACTTTTTTTAACAAACTACACACGTTTAGCATGAAATTAAACAAATCCAAAAAACCAAAATGATTCGAAGGTAATGATCATTTGAAACCTAAAAAAACCAGTCATAGTAAAACTAATACCAAAATTGTGGATACTTAACAAACCCCAAAATTAAACACGCAATGATTTTACAGCAAATAAAACACTTATAGGGAATCCATATCATGTTGCCCTCACACCCCAAGACAAATTAATTAATCAACATGTATGAGCTCATGGTTAATTAAAGTTAAAGTTTTTTTGGGAAACACATACATACATAATTAATAAAAAAAAAATGTTCTATAAATTAAACTCAAGCCGTTTTAAAGTTAAAGTATAAACACAGCAGTGGAAAAAAGTTTAAAGAACACAAATTATACTTCAAAAGTAAAAAAAAGAATTTCGTAGAATAATAAATAAATAATAAAACAAAAAAATCCAGATACAAAAATTGTATATTCCAGATAGATTCACACACTTATAGATTTTTTTTTTTTTTTTTGGAATAACAAAATTTGTTATTTTAAGAAAACACAGACGTTTCAGTTGGTAGAAGCTACATTTATACTTTATAAATCTTTATTATAAACATTTAAAATAATAGATTCACATTAAAACTTGTTTATTTATTATTTTTTTGAAATAAATGTCTATTTATTATTTTCTTTTTTTTTTCAAACTCACCAATTCAATAATTTTCAAAATTAAACGATTGTTGAATTGCATTTTGCTGTTTTATTTATATTATTACACTTTTTTATTATTTAAACAAAACTTGTATTTATTTCGTTTATTCTACCGCTATTTGTTGCTTTTAGGGTAAGCTTTGCAGAACGACTGAATTTTTTGTTTTTCCCATTTGTTTAATAACGTTTCTTTTTTTGAAAGAAACAACAAAAATGTTGTAGTTAATTTTGGTTTTTGTTTAGCTACAAAAAATTGGGTTAGCTACTTGTTGCTGGCAACATTTGTTACTTAAAGTTGGAGCAACAAGTCGGTGGAGGAACATTACTAATCAAACATGTGGATTGATACAAGACTTGTTAGAGCAACACATTGTCTGGCAACATTTACTGTGTTTTATTCTATATAAACTAAAATACACTGCGCGATGTAAAAACAAAACAGGCGAAGTACATAATATATTTTTAAAGATTTTAATTTTCTTTTTAGGGAAAACACTTTTATGTAGATGACTTTAGACTAGTCTACAGACTATATACTAGACTATAGACTCGACTATGAAGACTAGACCTATAGACTAGACTATAGACTAGACTATAGACTAGACTATAGACATAGACTAGACTATAGACTAGACTATAGACTAGACTATAGACTAGACTATAGACTAGACTATAGACTAGACTATAGACTAGACTATAGACTAGACTATAGACTAGACTATAGACTAGACTATAGACTAGACTATAGACTAGACTATAGACTAGACTATAGACTAGACTATAGACTAGACTATAGACTAGACTATAGACTAGACTATAGACTAGACTATAGACTAGACTATAGACTAGACTATAGACTAGACTATAGACTAGACTATAGACTAGACTATAGACTAGACTATAGACTAGACTATAGACTAGACTATAGACTAGACTATAGACTAGACTATAGACTAGACTATAGACTAGACTATAGACTAGACTATAGACTAGACTATAGACTAGACTATAGACTAGACTATAGACTAGACTATAGACTAGACTATAGACTAGACTATAGACTAGACTATAGACTAGACTATAGACTAGACTATAGACTAGACTATAGACTAGACTATAGACTAGACTATAGACTAGACTATAGACTAGACTATAGACTAGACTATAGACTAGACTATAGACTAGACTATAGACTAGACTATAGACTAGACTATAGACTAGACTATAGACTAGACTATAGACTAGACTATAGACTAGACTATAGACTAGACTATAGACTAGACTATAGACTAGACTATAGACTAGACTATAGACTAGACTATAGACTAGACTATAGACTAGACTATAGACTAGACTATAGACTAGACTATAGACTAGACTATAGACTAGACTATAGACTAGACTATAGACTAGACTATAGACTAGACTATAGACTAGACTATAGACTAGACTATAGACTAGACTATAGACTAGACTATAGACTAGACTATAGACTAGACTATAGACTAGACTATAGACTACTGTGTCCCAGTTTAGAGCCATCTGTGTAACAACAGATTTCCGCATGGGTTCGCTCTAATGTTGGGCTTGACCATGATGTCCTATCTCCAATCCAACATCAATACGCTTTGTTGTATCTATTCTCTATGTTTCCATTTTTAGCATCCGGATTACGCCTATGTCGAAGAACGATAGGATATTCCAGCTTAGTTGGGTTGACATTCAGACCTCCTGGATGAGGCCAACCGAAAGCCTTATCTAGACCCTCCTCGGACGTCCTACATTAGTAGTTTGGATCCCTAGAAGTATTTGTATTAATTGTGAATACCCACAGTAATGCAGATAAAATCACGCTCTGTAGTGTTCCGCGAAATACCCTTTTCCTAATAGTTAGTATATCGTACTTATCGCTCTATTTCCTTAAATAGGTAACCAATTGGAAAAATTATCATAAGTTCCTTTAACAGTGGTCCAATTGCAAAAAGAAGTCAAATTTGTGACGTTGTTATTTGTCAACAAAAATCAATTTAATATGAACAACCTAAAGTCGCATCTAGGTTCATCAAACAATCATAAAACAAGGGCATACAGTGATAAAAAGAAAAACCTTAAATGGGCTGTATATCCTTAATTCACGGTCCGATTAGAAACATAATGAAAAACAATCCATCAAAATTGCCTATAGACAGATTAGACGGACAGATGGATCGGACTCTAGTATGAATTACAAGTCAATTCCGATCTAAATATCACTGTTCATTAATGATGTCACCCATCAATGTTAGATACATTGTTGAAACGTTATTAATGTTGCAATGTTTCGGCAACATTTCAATTGCGTAGTTAAGAAATGAATGATGAAGTCAGGCGTCTATACTAGAAACTATGACGCATCCTAGAGACAACACTAAAGTGTGAGAACCAAAGCCACTATATTTCACAGCAACAATTACAATGGATCTTAAATATGACAGAACGAACCCAAACAACAATAAACAGAACATTAGACGAAAAAAGCACACACACACAAGATTTATTATGTACGAATTAATGTAATGTAAAAAAGCAGGGGAAAAAGAAATCCAATATAATAAATAAAGAAATACGCATAAAAATAATAAAAGGTGGGTAATGTGAATCAAATAATGTTCCATCACTTTTTAAGGGAGGTTAAATTATCAAATACAACTTAGAAAATACAATTTGTACGTTTAAATAAAAAATAAAATTTATTGCGACGCATACAAAAGAAACGAACAAAAACTTTTTCTTATAAACTTACTTTTTAAAAGTTAGAATAATACAAAAAAATCATCTTAAAGTTTAAATAGTTTTTTATATAAAAATATAATGATAGGGCAGCTTCCTCATTTATCGCGAAATGTAAAGATGGCATCGAATCCGAACAGTACACCATTAACAATGGAAAGTGAAGCTTTTATTAGAGCCATATCTCGAGTGCGGGTACGAAATGAATGTTCCCAGGCTTCTATGATAAATACACCAGAGGCTATAAATAGAGCACAGCCCATAATACTGAAAAATATATCAATTCTTCGATGAACTGAGGCACGCATTAAAGCCCCTAAAAATAAGATTATATGCAAGTTTTGTTATTTATATGGAGTTAGATTATTTACCCACAAATACTCCAAAGAGCACTATAATATAGCCAGCAAATGTACCGGTAGCCAATAAAGACGCCAATATATCACGATCATCGAAACTGTAATAATGCAAGACCAGACATGCTACTGAAAAGCCCTGAAAAAAATATGATTAACAATTTTGGTGAAGTTTAAAACCACTCTCGAAACACTAAGTGCAAACCAGGATTCCATATGAAAAACATAAAATCAATGGTATATCATTAAATCCACATTAGAAACAAGCAGAAATCTGTGTTATCGCACCGAATATAAAATGGACTATAGCCCAACCTATAAAATTGACTGTAGTCCAGACTATAGTCTAGACTTTAAAATGGGCTCGACTATAGAATAGATTATAGCCAATAGAATGAACTATATTCCAGACTATATATATAAAATCCAGACTATAGAATGGTCTACAGTCCAGATTATGGAATGGTCTAAGGTGCAGGTTATAGAATGATCTATAGTACCGACTATAGAATAGACTACAGTCCCGACTATAAAACGGACTATAGTCTAAACTATAGAATGAAGAGTCCAAACTACAGAATGGACACTACAGACTTTAGAATGGGCAGTGCAAACTGCCGAATGGACACTCCAGACTTTAGAATGGACACAAACCCAAGACTATAGAATGGTATATATATAGTCCAGACTATAGAATGGTCTATAATCTAGACTATAGAATGGTGTATAGTCCAGTCTATGGAATGTTCTATAGCCCCGACTATAGAATGGTCTATAGTCCAGATTATAGACTGGTCTTAAGTCCAGATTATAGACTGGTCTAAAGTCCAGCCTATACAATGATCAATAGTCCCGCTAATACAATGGTCTGTATTGCAGACTATAGAATCGTATATAGTCCAGACTATAAAATGGTATGTAGTTCAGACTATAGAATGGTCTATAGTCCAGACTATAGAATGGTCTATAGTCAAGACTATAGAATGGTCTATAGTCCAGACTATAGAATGGTCTGTAGTCCAGACTATAGAATGGTCTATTGTACATACTATAGAATGGTCTATTGTAAATACTATAGAATGGTCTATAATCCAGACTATAATATGGTCTATAGTCCCGACTATAGAATGGTCTATAGTCCAGACTATAGAATGGTCTATAGTCCAGACTATAGAATGGTATATAGTCCAAACTATTGAATGGTCTTTAGTCCAGACTATAGAATGGTCTATAGTCCAGACTATAGAGTGGTCTGTAGTCCAGACTATAGAGTGGTCTGTAGTCCAGACTATAGAGTGGTCTATAGTCCAGACTATAGAATGGTCTATAGTCCAGACTATAGAATGGTCTATAGTCCAGACTATAGAATGGTCTATAGTCCAGACTATAGAATAGTCTATAGTCCAGACTATAGAATAGTCTATAGTCTAAACTATAGAATGGTCTATAGTCCAAACTATAGAATGGTCTATAGTCCAGAATATAGAATGGTCTATAGTCCAGACTATAGAATGGTCTATAGTCCAGACTATAGAATAGTCTATAGTCTAAACTATAGAATGGTCTATAGTCCAAACTATAGAATGGTCTATAGTCCAGACTATAGAATGGTCAATAGTCCGTACTATAGAATGCTCCTGATTATAAAATAGTCTATACTCCAAACTATAGAATATCAATAGTCCAGACTATAGAATGTCTGTGATCACTCAACATTTTACTCAAAATCTATTTTTTACGAAAAACATAAAATCGGCTTCAAGTCCATAAATAAATAATTTGAGAAAATTGCAATGATCACTTAATTGATTATAAAAAATTCATTAATCTGTTCATATTGAAATATGGCTCTTCCTTATAATCGCTCCAATTGAGAAAATAGCAGACATTTTTGATCACTGATTTTTTTCCATCAAAAAATCGATTTGTATAAGAATATCCTTATATAACGTTCAAATTAAGGAAATAGCGAATATCTGTGAGAGGTCAGTGATATTCAAAGTATCACAGCATTATCTAGTTTTATTCTATATTGAATTTTATGTATTTTTTAACTTTTGATTGTACTTTTGTTTGTGTTATGGAATCATATTTATCACTTAATTGTTTTTAGAATGTTAATCACTTTTTTTGTATTTTTTTTATTAATTACCAATTCTAAAAATTTCACCAAATTTATGCGTCCTTTACGTTCACCATGTGACATTTTGTCAAATATTTTTTTTAAACCAAACACAATTTTAACTAATTTTTATTTTTTTTTTTTTTTAGTTCTTCAACTTTTAATATCCATATCCTTTTTTCAGTGGATTTTCACAAAAATTTTTTTAAATTTCGATTAATTAAAGACGATTTCCGTTCGAATGTATTCAACATGATGGTTGTTAAATCACAACTGACAAACGTCCAGTTAAACCGAAAAAATGCACAGTGATTGAGTTATGCTAATTTAAACTTTACAGTGAATTATTAAATGCTGGACCAAACGACCGACCGACCGAAAGCAGAACTATAGATGTTTACATATGCACTCAAATAAAATTTACTTTTTTTCCCACCCACAGCAGTAGAAAAATTTGAAAATAAAAAAAAACCTTTTGAAAAAAGACAGAAAAATATGATGAAATTATAAAACTATTAATTAGTAATCATGCAGAGTCAAAAGGAAATATGTTCTACACTTGTACGCTTTTCAACTTGAATTTTTGAATTACGAAAAAAATACACACATGAAATTCTGAAAATGTCTGTTTTGAAATGCTAAAAAGATCATAACAGATGCTTGAAGTGGTTGTAATGCTGTATGCGGAATATTAATGATATATCAAATGTAATACAATTATAATAAACTTACATTTTTAACCTAGCTAATATGTAAGTCATCAAAAGATTTTTAATATAACACGACTGTTAAAAGCTTTACAAAATGTTTGCGGTTTTCGGATACAAGTCCAGACTATAAAATAGACTATAGTACAGACTATATAATATACTTTAGTACAGACTATAGAATAGACTATAGTCCAGACTATAGTATAGACTATAGTCCAGACTATAGATTAGACTATAGAATGGACTATAGACAAGACTATAGAATAGACTTTAGCCCAGACTATAGAATATACTATAGTCCAGACTATAGAATAGACTATAGTCCAGACTATAGAATAAACTACAGTCCAGACGATAGAATAGACTATAGTCCAGACTATAGAACATACTATACTATAGTCCAGACTATAGAATAGACTATAGTCGAGACTATAGTCCAGACTATGGAATAGACTGTAGTCCAGACTATAGAATAGACTATAGTTCAGATTATAGAATAGACTATAGTTCAGACTATAGAATAGACTATAATCCAGACTATAGAATAGACTATAGTCCAGACTATAGAATAGACTATAGTCCAGAATATAGAATAGACTATAGTCCAGACTATAGAATAGACTATAGTCCAGACTATAAAATAGACTATAGTCCAGACTATAGAATAGACTATAGTCCAGACTATAGAATATACTATAGTCCAGAATATAGAATAGACTATAGTCCAGACTATAGAATAGACTATAGTCCAGACTATAAATAGACTATAGTCCAGACTATAGAATAGACTATATTCCAGACTATAGTAAAGACTATATTCCAGACAATAGTAAAGACTATAGTCCAGACTATAGTCCAGACTATAGTAAAGACTATAGTCCAGACTATAGTTAAGACTATAGTCCAGACTATAGTAAAGACTATAGTCCAGACTATAGTAAAGACTATAGTCCAGACTATAGTAAAGACTATAGTCCAGACTATAGTAAAGACTATAGTCCAGACTATAGTAAAGACTGTAGTCCAGACTATAGTAAAGACTGTAGTCCAGACTATAGTAAAGGCTATAGTGCAGACTATAGTAAAGACTATAGTCCAGACTATAGTAAAGACTATAGTCCAGACTATAGTAAAGACTATAGTCCAGACTATAGTAAAGACTATAGTCCAGACTATAGTAAAGACTATAGTCCAGACTATAGTAAAGACTATAGTCCAGACTATAGTAAAGACTATAGTCCAGACTATAGTAAAGACTATAGTCCAGACTATAGTAAAGACTATAGTCCAGACTATAGTAAAGACTATAGTCCAGACTATAGTAAAGACTATAGTCCAGACTATAGTAAGACTATAGTCCAGACTATAGTCCAGACTATAGTAAAGACTATAGTCCAGACTATAGTAAAGACTATAGTCCAGACTATAGTAAAGACTATAGTCCAGACTATAGTAAAGACTATAGTCCAGACTATAGTAAAGACTATAGTCCAGACTATAGTAAAGACTATAGTCCAGACTATAGTAAAGACTATAGTCCAGACTATAGTAAAGACTATAGTCCAGACTATAGTAAAGACTATAGTCCAGACTATAGTAAAGACTATAGTCCAGACTATAGTAAAGACTATAGTCCAGACTATAGTAAAGACTATAGTCCAGACTATAGTAAAGACTATAGTCCAGTCCAGACTATAGTAAAGACTATAGTCCAGACTATAGTAAAGACTATAGTCCAGACTATAGTAAAGACTATAACTATCCAACAGTAGGGTATTCTCATACACAAAACCACTTGAGGAAGTAAAAGTGGACAAACAGAAGTGGGACCCCCTTCTGACTTATTAAAAGTAACAACATACAACCGAATCGTACAGAGGCAACAGCAGCAATACCAGCGATCACGAATTAACTGAACAATTTCTATATTTATGCGTAAGAGGCAAATGCTTTAAATACTTTGTTGATGTCTTTTGCTCTTTATACTTTTCAAATATAATCACTACATTAAAATTGCAATTTAGAATGTTGCAAGTTATTTACAAGTAGCATTTTGTGTGTTTTTGACTAATAGAGCTGATTATTATTTTAATAACATCTAAAAAAGGGGTTATGAGAATTAGAACTTGAACTAAAGGGGAATAAAGGTATGTAGATAAATTATATTGGATGTTTGTGGGCGCCCATAAAACGCACTTTTTTTGGGTGATTCGATCTTTTGTCTTGGGCTGTTGTTGTAAATAAAAAATTAACCTACATTTGAAGATAATTAATTAATAAATAAGGTACTTATGTATTAGATGAGTAGGCCTGTAATGTAATGAACAAAATTAGCGAAAAAATTTAATGAGTATGCACATTGAAAAAACAGGTCAATTGTTTTGAAAAATTTTGTATTAGGGGTATTCATAGGCAAACTTTTGAATGTGTTATAATTCTCAAATAGTTTTTAATTTTAATATCAGAGTTTGAAATAAATTTGATTATAAATAGCAATAATCAAAGTACCCGATCACAATAAAGCATTACGAGGCCAAAATGTTTTTCTTAAACTATCAACCCATATTTTTTGGAAATGTCATATTCAATTGTTAAAATTTTTAAAAATAAATTAATCATAATATATTATACATGTAATTAAGTACAATTTGAATGAAATATGTAATCAATTTTAATCAATAATTTTCTTAATTTTCCAAAAAAATAAATGAAACCACATTCATGAATAAAATGAATATTCTTAATATGAATGAATATTCCTTTTTAGCATTGTTCTCCTTTTTCTATTATTTCATAAAAAATATTCATTAAAGTTTAAAACTTGTACAAACTTTAATGAATATTTTTCATGCATGCAATGAAACCTTTTATATATGCAATGAAACCTTTCATATATGCAATGAAACAATCACTATTATTGAAATAAGCTACGTTTGGTATTGTATTGCTGCCAGTGCGTTAGCATTGTGAAATTGTGCGAATCAGTGCAGTAGATCTTGAGTTTATCGATTAAGAACAAACTTTACTCTTTTTTTTTGTAATAGATGTGAAAAAATCTATCACATTTTTGAGTAAGTTCAAAAATTACATGACTTTAATGAAGCAACGAATGGCCATTATGAAGCATTTTTATTGAATTAATAACCAATTTCATTTTATCTATGAAATAGTTTCACATTGGAGTCTAAACACAAATTAATAAAACAATGTAACATACTCTATTAATGCAATGAAGGGCTACGTTAGTACGTAATCAATGAAAAATTGCATTAATCAAATGATAAAATTCATTACTGGAATGCAGCTTTTTCTCATCGAGCCATTACTAATGTATTAATTTTAAATTATTTCTTTCAGTATTAACATTTCAAAGTTTCTCCAACCGAAAAAAAAGCTTTACAAAAAGCTTATTTTTCTACATATTCGAAATTATTTATACAACTAACGTTTAAGTTAAAAAAAGCTTCATAAAGTATAAGAGTTTACTCAAGCCATTTAAAATATAAAAAATAAAACCTTAATAAGATGTTTATGATTACAAAGATATTTTTCTCAATTTTCAATTAATTTTCACATGCAATATAATAATTGATTGCAATAATTTTGCTATTAGTTCTAGTAGCGAACGTGATTGCACAGGTTGTTCTAATACAACTATTTTAATATTATATATATACTTTATTAAACGTTTTAAACAATTAAACGCACAAAATGTCTGCAAGTGTTATAGATTTATTAACTTTAAATAATGAAGTCTTTAAATCGTATCTATTTTGGTCTGGAGTTTTGGCGCTTAAAATGATTATTGTGATGCCTTTATTGACGGGCATTCAACGGTTTACAACACATGTAAGTAAATAGTATATTAACCATTTGTTTTTGAAACGCAATGGGGTAAAAATAACTAGAAGTTTCTGGAACTAGAAATTATAAGAATAGCAGAAATATGTATATACTTTTATGCCAATTAGCATTTTTGAAACAGCTAATAAAAAATGCTCAGTGTAATAATTCAAAATATTTTAAAAGTGAGTTTTATAAAATTTCTACCGATAACCAGTATACTTCGCTACCCTTATAATAATATAAATAAAACACAAACTATAGTGAGTTTAACTGTTATTTGCCCTAGATTTTGGTTTCCCAGATATACATACATATTTTATTTACTTCGGATGAAAGGTGCCATGCCCACTATTGATAGTTCGCCCATTTTTTTAAATATTCATATTGATAGTAAAGATACTGGTACAAAATTTGTAGACTCTAGCGATAACAGTTTCCCAAATATAATTTATATGGCATGTGCCACGCCTACTATATCTAATTCACTAATTTTTTCGTCAGATATTCATATATGTTTATAAAAAAATGTATTCGTACAAAATCTTAATAATATGTATGATTTCGCAGATATTCATATTTTTTTGAGGATGAGAGTTGCCACACCCACTATTCGCCCATTTCTTCTAAATATTCATAATAATAGATATACGAATTTCAGTTTTTACTTTATATTGGTGGGTGCCCTTGCCCATTATTTTAGTCCGTCAATTTTCCTAAATATTTATATTGATT